GCGAGCGGTCTTATTGGCACGAGGCATCTACAGAATTAGATTTAGTCAGATTAGAAGCAATAATTTTCATAACAGAGTGAGGCAAAAGAAGCATAAAATTTAGCAAATAACAAGGGTAAGATGGGAAGCATGAAATGAGTGAAGCAAAAGAGGCTAGAACGACCATTGCTAACTAGGCTTGCGTCCTACAGTCAACACGGCTCTGATACCAATCTGTCACACCCGGTTTTAAGGATAAAATAGGATGCAAAATCTTATGTGCGCCCAGAGATTAGTCACACACATAGACCGACAAATTATAAATAGTATCATCACAAGTGTTTATTACATCATGAATAATAAGACATAGTCTTCACATAAATATTGCGGAAGTATAAAAAAAATCTCTCGCGGAAGCTCCATATCATAGTGACGTCAACTGGTTGACCACAAGTCTAGTAATCCTTAGGAAAGTCGTCATTACCATAGCCATCTATTACCCATCTAGGATTTTTATCCAAATAATGAAAATAAATAAGCGTAAGTACGTGTCATACTCAACAAGGGTTACATGGGGTTCATGAGGCTTAAAAGGCTTGACACATGTTTAACAACATTCAGCTTTTAGTTGTCACAATTTTAGCATAAGAGTAGCAACAAGTAGTTTGAATCCCATATAAACACATGATCGTTGTAAACATGAATAATGAATAGCATAAACGGATAATTCTTAGTGATCATCTATTCCATAAGGGTTTCAAGGCCACTCATGACCGTGAGCACGGCTGATATACCAGTTTTACACTCTGCAGAGGTTGTACAATTTCACTGTGAGTAGTGATACCCATATGCCCGGGTTAATTACTCCCAAAACACTTCCAAGGTGAGCAGGCAGGGGTCACTATGAAGCCTTTCAAAGGTTCGTCTAACAAGTTAGGGCCATTAGATTCACTTGGCAAACAGATATAGGAACCCCCTATCAAATGGCATAATTCCCTCACGGCTATACACATAAGAGTAGAGGCTGTCCTATACCCGATTCGTCAAGCCATTCTTATGCCAATAAAGGAAACCACTAACAAGGTAGAAACGGTCCTCATACTGAGCTAAAGCCAGAGCCATGTAGCCCTCATAGCTGTACTGTAAGTCTCGTATGATCACTTACAGATAAGGCCTTAGGGAGAGGAATCTGAAGCATTTAGAAAGTAGCTAAATACTCCAGCCCCCTATTTCCAAGTTGCTAAAAAGTCATATTTTAATGTTTATTGCATATACCATTAGTCAAGTTACAAGGTCATGGTTTAATTGAGCACTAGCAAGCTACCCAAATGCATAACCCGTAGGTGACAAGGTAAAAGTTGAATTCTAGGAAATTCCTATCAAGGTGACACATGCAACATGAATTTAATGAATTAAAGTGAATAGGAAACAAGGATGATCCCATGCTATACTTGCCTTGAGCAAAGTACTCCTGCTGGTCCTGCTCGTCAAAGTCGTACCCTTGATCTCCCACGAATTGCTCACCGTCTATACCCGATAACCACAGCAACATACAAGCATCCAGGAGCAATCATGCAAAGCAAACAAAAGCTATAGATTAGAATAGTACACCAACAGCATAAAATCAGGATGAAAAGTTTGGAAAATGAATCTACGTCTCGCTACGAGCACACAGACGCGAAGATCACAAAAATCGAAGCTAAAACGGAAAAGTTATGAATGAAACAAGATTTTCTATAGTAAAATAATAGATTAAATCTAATCTTGAATTTTAAAAGTTGAAAACCTACTTAACAGTATTATAAACATGTAGATTACTTAATTATGAACCTAACGCAACTTGAACGGATCAAATCGGAGTTAAAACGGAGATTTTATGGCTAAAACAAATTGAGTGGCAAAACTGTAAATAACTGAAAACGTATTTCCAATCTAACCGAACGAAAATACGCTTTCAAAAGAAAGAAACGGAATCTGAAAATGCGCTTTGGACTGCGGGTTAAGTCTGAAGTAATTGTAAGAGTGTTTTTGAAAAACTGGTGGCGAAGGGGTATCTTGGATCTGGAACAGTTGGATTAGACTTGGAGGGCCAATATTTGATCTGGCGGGTGAAAAAAAAACCGTGCCGACTAAAGCAGGACGGGCGGCGGGCTTGACCACGGCGGCGCCATGGGTGGCTCACCGGAGTTTTCGGTGACGAGGCTACGACGCTCATTTTCTTGAACGGAAAGACCCGGGGGAGAGCGGAGGAGATGAGGAACTCATCGGACCCGAAATCAAAGAGCGGGAGGCAGTAGAGGCGGCGTGGCGCTCGATGGTCGATGACTGTCGCGGCGGCACTAGGGCGAGGCGCGGCTGCGGCTTGCGTGGGTGAAAAAGCTTGCGGCAGATGGGATAGGGAGGCGGCGGAGGCGGCTATTTATGGGGGCGGGGTTACTTGAGAGGCACGGCGCGGCTCGTGGCAGAGGCGGACACGGCGTCGGCGCGAGATAGAGTCCGAGCCGGCGACGGGCGAGAGGAAGGAGAAGGCTTGACGACTGGGCCTGGGCGGTCAGCGAGCGGAGGAAAGAGGAGCGTGGGTGGGTGTGCGTCTGGCCGGGCCAAGACCTTCTTTGGGCATTGCTATGCCATGGCGCAGAAAAGGGGAGTGAGGCTGGCATGAGCGAAAGCAGAGCCGACCACCACTGTGCCTCGCCCAAGCGAGGAGGAGAGGAGAAGAAGGCTGCCAGTTGGACCAGTGGCCCATGAAGGAGAAAGGGGAGGGAGCTGGGCCAGTGAGGGAGCAAGGCCGAGCGGGCCAAAAATGAGAGAGGGAGGAAGAGAGGAGTAAATTTCTGTTTTTCCTTTTTCTTAAACATATTTCCAAAGCAAATTCAAAATGAAAATTCAAATCGATTTAGAATCCGACTTCAAACCAAGCAATTCAAAATAATATGCAGCGGCATGAATGCACATACATGATTGTTAACCTATATTTGATTTGAATTTGATAAAATTTATTATTTTTCCTAAATTTAAATGCCCACAAAAATGCATAATTAAACATTTTCTCCTATTTCAAAAATATGCAAAATTTAGGGTGTTACAATAACTTACAGATAAGTCCTTAGGGAGAGGAATCTGAAGCATTTAGAAAGTAGCTAAACACTCCAGCCTCCTGTTTCCAAGTTGCTAAAAAGTCATATTTTAATGTTTATTGCATATACCATTAGTCAAGTTACAAGATCATGGTTTAATTAAGCACTAGCAAGCTACCCAAATGTATAACCCGTAAGTGACAAGGTAAAAGTTGAATTCTAGGAAATTCCTATCAAGGTGACACATGCAACATGAATTTAATGAATTAAAGTGAATAGGAAACAAGGATGATCCCATGTTATACTTGCCTTGAGCAAAGTACTCCTACTGGTCCTGCTCATCAAAGTCGTACCCTTGATCTCCCACGAAATGCTCACCGTCTATACCCGATAACCACAACAACGACATCATGCAAAGCAAACAAAAGCTATAGATTAGAAAAGTACACCAACAGCATAAAATTAGGATGAAAAGTTTGAAAAACGAATCTATATCTCGCTACGAACACACAGACACGAAGATCACAAAAATCAGAGCTAAAACGGAAAAGTTATGAATTAAACAAGATTTCCTATAGTAAAATAATAGATTAAATCTAATCTTGAATTTTAAAAGTTGAAAACCTACTTAAGAGTAGTATGAACATGTAGACTACTCAATTATGAACCTAACGCAACTTGAACAGATCAAATCAGAGTTAAAACGGAGATTTTATGGCTAAAACAAGATTAGTGGCAAAACTGTAAATAGATGGAATTTGATTTTATAATTTAAATTAATAAAATTGGATTTTCAACCGAACCAGGGACTGCGGACGAAATATTCTAGAAAGCGGGGGTCTCTTAACAAAATCCCAAGGACGGCGGGTTGATATGCAAATAATTATAAGGGCCTTTTTACAAAACGACAGGCGAAGGGGTATGGTTAGATTTGATCCGTTGGATCATGATTGAACGACGTAGATTAGATCAGAGGTTGAGGGAAACGGCCGGCGAGGTCGGCGGCGAGCTCCGACAGCGGCACCATGGCCGAAGGCGGGCGGCGCAAGTGATTTATGGCCTACGGTCCACGAGAAAACAAATCGAAGGCACCGGGAGAAAGAGGAGATGACAACGAGCTCGGCTAGGTAACTTACCAAGGCGCGGAGCGGATGGAAGCGGCGCGCGGCTTCGGTGGATTGAGCTCGGTGGCGGCGGCTAGGGCTAGCATGGCTCGGCGCCTCGGCGAGGCAGCTTCAAAGCTTGGGATGGGGAGGCACGGCGGCGGGCACCCGGTATTTATGGCCAAGAGCAGCTTGGAGCGCAAGGCAAGGGTGAGGCACGACGGCCATGGACTTCCGGCGGCGGCAGAGCAGTGTCCGTGTCGGACATGAGCTGGAGGAAGGAGACGACGCGGCTGACATGTGGGGCTGGCTCGTCAGTGGCACAAGGCACGGGAGAGATGGGCGCGGCGACGCGGCGGGAAACTGGGCCGTCTACTGGGCCACCGCGGGAGAAGTGCGAGGCGCGGCGCGGAAAACAGGCCGAGCTGGGCCAAAAACCAGGGAGAGGGTAAATTTTTCTTTTCTTTTTCTAAACTAATTTTCCAAACTAATTTTGAAATACAAATTCAAATCTAATTTGAATCCTTTTGAAGTTTTGCTCAAATACAGTCATCACAAAAACAAATATGCAGCAGCATGAAAGCATAAACATGTATGTAGACCTATATTTGATTTTAATTTTAACAAAGTTATTATTTTTCTAAATTTCAATGCTCACAAAATGCATAATTAAATTATTTTCTCCTATTTTAAAACCATGCAAATTTTAGGGCGTTACAGTAGCTTTGGCAATGGATGGGCTAGGACAGCATATTTGTCAGTGTAGTTCTGCAGAGAGAGGCGGCGAGCACTAGTTAATGTAGGGATATCATCATGGCTATGGACCTCCACGAAGCTTGCTTCATGTGCTTCTATCTGCAAAAAGTCATGGACTTTGTTTTGGATTGTGACCGACATACTCCCGAAACTGGAATCATCATCCATTTTCACTCGGTTGACAAGATTCCGATTAATCAACTCAGATAGGTAGATGTTGCCAATCTTCTCCATTGTCTTCCCGCCCTTTGAACTTAGAAATCCCTCTGCAACCCACATAAATACCAAGCTGCGTGCCTCAATTGTAGTGTTGGTTGGCAACGCAGCAAAGTAGAGGAAGCAACATTTTAGCTCATGTGGAAGATCATCAAAGCAAACTGACAGCATGCTTTCAAGATTCGCTGATGGCTTGGACTTAAGGTAGTGAAAAACCTTCACCCAATCACTTGGGAACACCTTGGTTTGCACAAGACCTGATAAAAGAACAACCGCCAAAGGTAACCCTTGGGTGATTTTGAAAATACTCTTTTGGTACTTCTTAAGGTTTTTATCTTGCAGTTCCTTAGGTAGCCTCTGACGAAACAATGACATGGAAGCATCTTCTGTAAGTTTTTTTAACTGAATGGTGACATGATGGTAGCTGCTAGGTGGCTCTTCTGGTTTACCTTGTGTGATATGCACTACTCTACTACCCCTAGGCCCAACTGGGATGCTAGTCAAAAAGTGCTTCCATTCAGTACCACTGACTTCACCATCTATCACGAGCAGGTACTTCTTATTTTTCAATTTTTTTTGCAGCATCTCCTGTGCCAATTCTTTAGGGCAATTCGTGTCGTCTTCTGTCAGTTGCTGAGTAATTTGTTGAAGGATGTTGGGAGCAGTCAAATAAGGCGCAAAACTTTCCATGGCTTGCACTTCAAACACTTTCTTCTTTTCCATTTTTTGTATATGTCTCTCACAAGAGTTGTCTTGCCAATACTACTTTCTCCGGACACAGTGATCATGACTGGATAGTGTTCTTTTCCCTCTTGGTGTTCAGTTAAGTTATTAACAAGGGCTTCCTCTAATTGGTTGTGCTCCTCCACATATATCACTGCATCTGAATCGTGGACATCATCCCTGAGATTCAACCATTGTATAGTGGTTAGTCCCAGTAAGTTTAGTCTGAAGAGTAAGTTGACAATCAAACATAGTGCCAAATACAATCTATCCATTGCCCATCGATATTTGTTAAGAAAAAATGAAAATCATTTTCCACTTCTTTTAGTCAATATATGCCTCGATCAGCCAAAGTTACTCTGTAAATAAAAGTGAGAAGGGATACCACTTATAACACTACATGCACAATACAGAGGCATGCATCTTAAGACTGCCGTCACACTGCCTCTATAAATCGATTTACAGAGGTAGCATGGGTCCTTGGACCCATTGAATGGAAGTTAAGCGCTACCTATGAATAAATTAATGAAGGACTCTCCGAAAATCCTTTTTAGTAGCGATGGGCTGCCTTTAAGAACCCATGTGTTGGTGCAAAAGTTGAGTACGCATCAATGTATGGATATATCATAACCGACGAACTCGCCTCCTTTTTTGTATGAAACTAGACTATTCAATTTTCACTTATAATTGTAAAAACCTGCGAACAATTACCCTGAAAGGGACTACGTTGTGGCTACCACAACTAGGGCTGGTCTAGGGTCAGTAGTATTGCCACCTAGAACACCCTGAAGTCGTCTTTGAGATAACTAGCATGTATATCTCTTCATGTTCCAAAATTGAGAATGGGTTTAGTTGCTTAAATTCAAAAGGTGAATCAAAGAATTTTGTTATCTAGTTATTAGCTAAAAATTATTAAAATACCAAACAAGTTTGATTCATTTTAGTTTATAATCATTTTTATATCTATTTTTGTTAATTTTGTATTTCTTTTTGTGAAAATAAAAGAGCTCTCTTATTTCATAGTTGATTGATTGAATTCCAAATAAAACCTATATTTATAGGAAATTATCAAATATTGCTTACTTTTTTTTGACAAATATTGCTTACTTCATATAAAAGGAAATCCTAATGACTAGAATTCTCTAAGTTTTAGAATGTCTTGTTTAAGAGACTAAGTATTTTTTATCGGAATTCAATTATGGAATAGCCTTCTAAACTTAATTAACTATTTGAATTATTCTCTATAGGCCCCTCTTAGATCTTCTTTCTCCAATCTTGGATTAGGGAATGAAGGGGTTATTCATGACTACTAGCAGTTTCATTATGCACCAGCTCATGATCTTCATATCGATCTATTATCCACCTCTGCGTCTATTCTTTCTTAGCTATAAATAGGTGGAAGATCCATCCAATATAATGTAGTTATATCATGGACTAAAAAAATGGATGTGAATATGACTGAAATACACGATCTTCACATGTATCACTTTTCATGATACCTTAACCTAAAAGGTGGAATAGCGATTTTGAACCATTTCCTATAAGAGAATGACTTCCATTACTTTGAGAAATGGATTCTATATCAATAGGAACCATACCTTATCCAACTAGGAAAGAAAATCGACCATGTAACCCTACCCCCAAACTATATAAGGCATGTAGGGTCCCTAGGTTAGGACAGAGCCAATAGAGGCTAGAAAACATCCACATCTACATACGAAAACAAGCAATATAAACCACCAAACACGAGACATATATATGGTATTAACTCATTCTGAGGGCCCCAACCCATCTAAATTTGTGTCTTTTGTGTTACTATCTAGCTCTAGATCCAAAGCATATATAACCCCACCTAATAATTATTGGGCATACCCTCATATTCATTATTACTGGTAATAAACAACTTTCATGGTAGGAAAAACAAGGTACATGTAGGTAGTTTGGCTATTAGTCGCGTTATACAAAAGATATCCTTAGACAAGGAAACATTCCTAAATATTTTGAAAAGTATGATCCAAACTGTTTCACTTGGGACTCTGTGTATAACATATCTCCCCTTAACCCAACTATAAAAGCATTAGGTGGGGTACATTACAGGGGAGGTCAAACTTAGATTGCAAAAAAGACTAGGAGCTAGCCCATAAGACACCATATCATATCCAAATCAAGAACCTTCTTACTACACAGTTAGGAGTTTACATGAGATCATATGATTAGCTAGATCTAAAACATATATGTTGCAATAATCTGCTTTTGACATAATGAAAAAATTATTAGATGCGGGGATACTACCACCTGGGAACCCTAAATATATCACTATCCTGACTTAATAATAAAAATAATTTGCATTGTAAACTTTTTAATCATTGACACTTTCTAAGACTTGAAATCTTATATTTGAAACCTAAGAATCATATTTTTGAATTCTTGAAGTTTGAACTTTAAAATGAACTAAAACAATCAGTCTAATATTTCTGAAACTTGAATCATGTTAGAGTTCTCAAAGCTCTTGTTAATGTTCCTAAAGTATAGTTAAGTCTTTACTTTATAGGAAAACTATTGCTGCACCACCAGTTACAATGGTGACATTGCTCGTAATACTCTCCTCCCACACGACATACCACAATCGCATACCCACGAATGCTCCTATCACATGCCTACAAATGAACTCCTAAAACCATTCAATTTCAACCATAGTGGCTAAGTCACACCCTCACAACTCAACCACCACACAAAAATTAGTTTGTTACCACCTAAGGGAAAGTACATTGGTGATTGGTAAGTGTAAGGAGTCTTATATATATGTTGTCTCATCCAATACCACATTGGATTTTGGATGATGTGGATGAGAGACGACGGGGGGGGGGGGTTGAGGGAAAGAGGCGGTTGTTTGGAATTAACACAAGACAACCTAAAGACTACACATTATATGAGTTGCCTGTTAAGTCATCTCAAGACTATGTGGCACAACATCACACCGACTATAAGATGATACCAATGTACTTAAGAGAATATATTGGAGACATAACCCACCAGAAGAGTAAGATCCTCCATTGGTACTCACCGGGGGAACTATGGTGTGTGTTTCCTTAGATAGGAATTTATGCTCAATTTAATTAAATGAGATTTTTTATCTATCTATCCCATTGACCAGGACAACATAATTAATGTGCCCTATCAATCAAGTAAGGCAGAAAATTATTCTAAAATGTAAGTGAATGTGGCATTCACCCATTTCATTCTTCATTTTTTTTACTAAAAAAAGCAAGAGGACGGAAGTTGGAAGGCAAATAATTCATCTCTATTGGATTATTTGTAGAAAAGAAATCTATAGAATAGTGATCTTGTCACATAAGTAGTGATTTCTTACTCCCTACCATAGGAATGACACAAGTGAAATCAGCTATAGAATATAGTTAAGTACAAAAGGTAATCTGTCTACTTACAACTTTCTATGAGTGTAACGTATACATGTTGAGGTAGAAGGTTTCCATGTCACATCTATCTTCTTATTGGAATCCTCTATCTTGTATTTTTCTTTGTTTTCAATGATGCCATCAAGCCTCATGTTGATGGCTCTAATTTTTGTAGATAGGCCGCGTCTCATCCGTACTTGAGTTGTGAATGTTTCGAGACATATCATAGTAGGACGAGCCCACCTGGGTACCTTCAGAATGCATATATGAGCATATTATAAACTAGAGAAGATTTTTGTGAACCTATGTGGAGCTGGAGCAAATATAAAAGAAGCACTGTTCATAATAAAAATGTAGAGATATTACAAGGGAAAAGGGTATATTATTTCAAATTTGCTCCACATCAATTGTCTGATCTGTTGCAACCATTCGGCCATCATTTTTTTTACGAAACTGGAGGGGTGGGGGCCTCTACAGGAATTTATTAACAGCATAAAAAGGAACAGTGTGCAAGATAAAGCAACTAAGAAACAAAGAAAGAAGGCCATCAATTTTGTGGATTGTAGGATCATGAACAGACTGCTCTATATGATTGTCTAGTGTAATTGTTAGATATGCATAGCCCTTTCATGTTAATTAGAGAGGCTGTCTTCTAGAATCGTTTTTGTGGTAGTGTATCGCCAATCTATTACTTCCTCCATTCCAAATTATAAGACATTTTGACTGCCTAGAGAAAGATCTGTAGTATTTAGGGAATAGCTAGCTAAAACATCTTATATTTGGAACGGATGAAGTATTTCACGACCTTGATGGGGACTAACATACTTGCATCGGGGTTGGGGCAGTACTATCTCCGTCATCCGAAGTCGTAGTTGTTCTTGGCAAAACTTGTTGGTATACTACTTAAAGCTGTGTGCTGCGGATGGACGACTATAAAGGTGGGTGGGTATATACCTGGACAGGTCCACATGGAGATGGTAATGATCGAGGGCGTCCTCGGCGTCGAAGACGGCGTCCCGCGTCTGCAGCGTCCAGACCCTGGTGACTTCGTGGGTGACGGCACGGCGCCTGGTGTCGGCCTCGCGGAGGAAGGCCTGCAGCCACATGAGCTTGTCCCAGAGCCGGTGGATGTCGGCGTTCACCCCCACCAGCGCCCGGGCCTCGCCGACGGCCACCTCCTGCAGCCTCCCAACCAGAGGCCCGATGATCGCCTCCGCCATCTCCTTCCAAGCTAGCTGCTAGCTACGCGCTGCTGGGAACGTACGTGAATGCTTGATCGGTGGCGTGCATTCACGGCCGTACACATTTGTGTTTGTGTGTGTAGACGATATGCACCACACGCGCTACGGTGGCGCGCATGCGTGGAAACAACTAAATGCTTAATCGCGCTTTGAGTCGCTGCTCAGATAGGGATTGATTTGATTCTTGTCGCCATCTGCATGCATGCATTGCTAATCGGAGGTGAAAGAACGGCAAAGCTTGCCGATGATACCTTTCTTTGCTTGTTTTTGATGCGCTAGTGTGCTTTTCCGTCCGACATATGTGCGTGCACAGCCGGGCTCCTACATGCAGCGTAACCAATAAGGATGCATCTAGCTAGCTAGCTAGCTGGAATCACCTTTTGGAATCGCTTGATGTGTCATTGCTAATACTGCAGGTATATGTCATGTGCTACCTCGACCGGCCTCTCAAAAAACTAGTTCTCTGGTCATGTGTTGCTACGGACAAAGCAAATACAGAATTCCACAATACACACACACACACACACACACACACACACACACACACACACACACACACACACACACGATCTCCATTAGCCACGTTCAGATGGTGATGTATTTAGTTTGTACTCTCCCTCTATCCTAAAATATAAAGAATCAAGAGTTCAAAATTTATACCAAATTATAAAGAATTTTAGGTGAACAAACACTCTAAAAGGCAACACTCACATGCATACCTACCATTAGTGTCTATCACACCAACCTAAACATATGGTAATCAGTGAGGGTTTATGCGTCATTTGTCTTACCATATGATATGCCCTCAAATTACTTTGGATACCTTTTATATTTCTGGATGGAGGGAGCAGCAAAGGAGCTTTAGAGCAACTCCAGGAGCTTTGTAAAACAACTACCTATTTTGATTTTTAGTAAAAAAAAGGAAAAAAATGCCTTCCAATAAATTTGTAAAACAACTCCCAAAGATAAGAAATGACTAGATCTTGCATGTAACTCATAACTATGTGTGTTCTCTCCGCATTGTGTATACGGCCTATAGGTTCCGGTTTTCTGTTTTATCCCATGGTTTTTTTCTTTATCCTGCGTGGGTGGCTCATGCAGATGGAGAGACGGTGGCATGATTGGGCCTATTCGGCAGGACTGAAAAATACTGTTTCGGCTGATTGTTGTGAGAGGAAAATACTGTTCTGGCAGGATGTGAATAGTGATTTTGTGAGGTGGCTGGCCAGCCGGTAATCAGCCAGCCAGCCAGCCGAACATGGCCATTGTTGGCAATGATTACTGTTGTGAGACACAGGTCATCTCTTGTCCTTGAGGGTCCTTGTCACACCTGGTTTTATATAACAAAACCGAATGCACATCACATGTATGCCAGGATCTTTTTATTCATACATGCGACGACAAAAGTGATACATTGCACTGTTTAATACAAAAGCGATTACATATTACAAGAATGGCCAGAGGGTATGAACACAAATTTACATTAGAGTTCCAGCAGAGCAGAGTCTCCATCCCCACAGGCAGCCGACCGGGGGTACATCAGCCTAGCATCAACACCGTATTCAGGAAACACCATCTTCTAGTCCGAACATCTGGGTGGGGTAGCAAAGGGGACAAAGAGAAGGGTGAGTACATCGAAATGCACTCCGCAAGTGTGGGAAAATATGACATGAGGCTTATAACAAGGATAGGCTTACAAAGGTTGACACCAGCACCTAAGCAACACACCTATTACCTTAAATCTTAAGCACCTATTTAACTAGGTGAGATCTCCCTTCTCCTCAGAGAACCACTGAAACCAACACTCGGATTCCATCCGAGCCAACCAACACTTGGATTCTATCCAAGCCAACCACACTTGGATTCCATCCAAGTCTCCCAACTGAACCAGAGCCATCTAATCAAGAAGAAGTCTAGGCTGCTCTTGACCGTGAGCACGACTGATATATCAGTTTTACACTCTGTAGAGGTTGCACATCTTTACCCACGAGTCGTGTTTTCCCCATCACACTAAACACTGCCTAGGTGCTCAGCGGGGTCACACTACAAGGCCTTTACGAAGCCCCTCCAAGTCTGTTTTACACCTTCACTAAGGTTTCTATAGCCAACAGTGGGTACCAACACCACTGCAGACGCCCCATCTTGTGCCACACAAACCGACCCGATGTAGCATAACTTAGAGGAAACTAATTAATTAGCCAGGTCGAACCATATTGACCTCATGGCTACACTATTAAGCCAGGTTACATGCTTCGAGAACTAGTCCTTAGAATCCAAGCAGGAACGAGCACAAACCCATTCCACCAGTTCTAACATCCACCAGAAAAACATTTACTAATATCCAACATCATACCACCATCAAGACCAGCCATCCTGCTTGATTCCTAGTCACCATGTTTCTAAAAAGATTACCAACCCAAGTTGCATAAATCATTAGTCAATATTAAATAATAACCTTCCCAACCCAAGACTGCAAGCTAAGCATGACACTACCTATCTAAACCGGGTTTCAAGGATGATATTGCAAATCTAGTAAATCGTAACATGGGATTCAAAATTAGACTCAGCATGCAGCTAATGGTCTAACTACTCTAACTCAAAGTAAAATAAAGTAGGTGCAAGTATGGTCAAGGACACTTGCTTTCGGCTTAGAAACGCATAACAACTCAAACTCTTGGTCTTCAGGATCAACCGATGACTTCTCTTCCACTCGTAGCAAACTTTGGGTGCATAGACATACAAATAAACATATGCAAATAAATAAAAATAGTACACCAAACATGATAAACAACTTAAGAAAAGGTTACTTACGCATAGGTCTTGTTTCTACGATCGCGTGAGCGCAAAAACCGCTGAAAACGGAGTTCAGAAGGAGAAGATATGAAAATGGAGTTCGCAAAAACCGCTAAAAACGGAGCCCGCCATGCCGAAAGTGGCGGGAAGGTGGGCCATCCGATGTCCAAAAAGCGCGAACGCACGACGTCCTCCCCACCTACGGCGTCAACTATCGGTGCGAAATGTGGCCGACAAGTAAATATTTGTAGTTTTGCCGTGCGTTAAGATCGGATGTGGCCTAGCACACAATGACACAAGATTTATACTGGTTCGGGCAACGGGCCCTACGTCTAGCTTGGGGTCGGTCAGTGACTATATTCCTGAGCCCAGGTGCTCGAAGTTTGCTGTGGGATTACAAACGAGTGAGGAATGAGAAGGGGGGTGTTCGAGGCCCGTTCGGACTCTGTTCCGAGTGGAAAAGAGCAACAAGGCTCAAACATATGCTAAGTGCTAAAGAGACAGAGCAGCGTGTGTGTGTCTCTGTGTGTCCAAGCTTGTGAGCTATTGAGACTATGTTATGCTCCTCAGATGCCTCAGATCTCAGATCCCTGTCCCATAGAGAGCCCATCCCCTTTTATAGTTTAAGGAGATGGCTTTACAAGTCAGAGAGAGAGTGTGTGTACGGGCGCTGCCCAGTCTTGTTGCCCACGCTATCGGGTATGGGATGGCCGCCGCTGCCATCCCCATTCATATGATGTAGCCTCTAGCAGGCTGCACAGTGTTCGCCTGGCATGGCAGACGGCGCCGCACTTTATCCTGGTTCGAGTTTCGTCTCATCGGGCAGCAGCACAGTGTCCGCCTGATAAGAAATGACGACACCGCCCTGCATGTGCGCAGGACGTGGTAGGGTATGGACCTCGGTATTGTGGTTGACTTGGGTGCATTTCCTTTATCTGGTCCACCTACTCTCCGAGCCCACACCGAGCGGGAGTCCTCGATCGATCGTTCTCGGTTGGCTCCGACCGCGTCGGTCGGGAAAGAGCGGTGCGAGTAGGTCCGGCGTGTTCCTAGTCAAGGGAACTCGGTCGAAGTTAGACTGTGGTCCTGTCCCGACTAGGCCTTCTGGTCGGGGTGTCAACAAGGCCCCCCGGTCGGAGGCACCGGTTAGCGGCCGGATCACGGTCTCGGCCTGTCGTCGTGTATCTGGGCTGGCCTAGGCGTGTGCTGTAGCTGCCTCTCCTGCTGAGCCAAGCGTTGCGAGAAAGCGGGTCCATTGGGGACCCTAGGTTTATGAACCCAACAGCAGCCCCCGAGCCCCTTTGGGGCTTCTGTGAAGCTGTGAAGGGGTTGTCGACCGAGGTTGGTTGGTTGCCGCTTTTGAGGAGCACACGGGGCTACTGTTCATCCTTGTTTGTTTGTAGAGAAAGGGGCGTGCCATGTGCGAGTACTGGCCCCAGATAAGGATCAGCTTCATGGGGACACTGTTCGCCCTTGTCTTTTTGCAAAGAATGGGGCAAGCCGTGTGCGAGTACAGGCCCTGGATAAGGATAAGCCTCACGGGGACTCTATGTTGTTGTCTTGTGTTCAAGCTCTTTTACTGCGTGGTCACGGGTGCGTGCTATAGCATTCCCGGATGGTGGCTTACTCCCTAGCTATAAATAGGGCTGCTCCTGCCTTTGGAGTGCTCATGGATCAAGTTATAGAACTAGTTGGTTTGAGGCTCTTGCTCTTTGCCAGGGGTGGCTTTGGCCACATTTCCTGATGCTAGACAATTTGTCGTAATAGATGCTCCAAGTTCCTTCCCTCCAAAGCCTCTCCAGGCAAGTCCAGGGGCCACGATGCTAGAAGATCTCTCGTAAGGAGAGAGCATCGTGCGTCCTAGCCGAACCTTGGTCCTATATGCTGAATTAGAGGACGGAGGAGAGGGGGGAGAGCATTGTAGAGGGAGGATAGGGAGCGTGGCTCCCTTGTCCCACTTCTTGCTCCAAGGTGTAGATCAGTCCCAGGGCTATTCACACACGCTTTGCATGATATTGTAAAAGCCTGGGGCTTCTGTTTTTAGCTTAATGAAAGCTTATATTGTTATATGTTCCCTGTGCCCATTGTGTCGTGGAGGCGGGCTATTATTGGGACTTTGGTGTTTTCCCCTTTGGGTTGCTACACTGCGCAGGGTAACCAATTAGGGTTAGGTGCCAAGCCCTTGA